AACAGCTGCACCATCTCAAGATGGCCCCTTACCCGGCAGAGTTTGTCCTTGCCAGCGCGGGTTTCTAGCACAAGGCGCGCGATGCCAGGAGGTGTACCACTTCTCACGACTCTTAAGCCCTAACCCCCATATCCTCAACTCTAGACCCTAAACTCCATATCCTAAACACTCGCCCAAAACCCCATAGTTCTCCTAAACCCCAAATCCCCAAACCTTAGAACCCCACCCCTATTCCCAATCTTCCAGTCAGGCTGCGCGGGAGCTAGCACTGCGCGAGCTGGCGAAGCCGACGCCCAGCAGCAGCACAGTGCCGCGGGATCGGGATTGGTTGGGGTTTCGGGTTTAGGGTTTAGGGTTAAATTAAATTGGGTTTTGGGGTTAGGGGGTCTATGGCTGAGGTCGTAGACGCAAAATCCCCAAAGGCCTTCGATTCAAGCATGCACCCTGAACACGCCCCTTCCACATTTTGTCTTCCATCAGTTTTTTTGGTTACACTCTGAGCACAGTTTTGGTGCTTGTGATTCTAGATGTGTTTGTGTGTGTGGGCGCGGTTGTTTGGAGATGTCAGAGAGATTCCCGACAATTCCTAACCTGTCTCAACCCGAAACCCGAAACCCTGAACCCGGAGCCCTAAATCCTGAACCCGAAACACTGAAAAAGCATTCCGACCTGCAAGGAAAGTGCGGCCAGAGGCATCACTGCAGATGGCTTGCGTGGTACCGTTTTGCCCCCCTTTTGGGTCCTGGGTTCAACATGCAACAGTAACTCACACCCTCTGCTCAACTCCACAAGCGCTCAGCAGTGGTCAATAGACAAGTTGCTGGCTTGAAGCCCGGTTTGTGTGGGCCTACCTAGACATTTTTGGGTCAGTCAGAAATGTGCGCTTCCTTGCTGGTCGGTATCTTTTCCCAAAAATCCCTAAGCCCTGAGAGAGACAAGGGCTTTCTGTTGGAGGCCCCTTGTAAAGCTGCTGGCTATGGCTATTTCGAGAAAGTGCAGCCTAGTATCGAGGCAAATCTTTTTTGGGCTTATAGGGGCGATTCGGGTTGGGGCTCAGGATGGCTGGAAGGGAGGTGGCTGGGTGGTGTGGCTGGCTGCCTAAGAAGGCTGGAGGGCGTGGTGTGGCTGAAACGGGGGGTTGGAGGGGGGGCGGGGTTTAGGGTTTAGGGTTTAGGGTTTAGGGTTTAGGGTTTAGGGTTTAGGGTTTAGGGTTTAGGGTTTAGGGTTTAGGGTTTAGGGTTTAGGGCCGCGATAGCACGATGCGCTGTCGATCGGTTCAATGTTGCTGTCAGCAATGGGATTACGGTTCAGGTGTGGTTGCCGACAGATAGATGTCGGTGTATGTATTAACCGAGGGCCCTATACGTTTGTATCTTTTCCCCGCCCTACAGAGCCTAAAGCTTCTGAAGCTTCATCAAGCGGTTTAGGGTTTAGGGTTTAGGGTTTGGGGCTTCGGGTTGTTTAGGGTTCAGTCTAAGCAAAGAATCTGAAAGACAAACAAAGCACCAGTGGCCACCGAGCGCTCGGACAGGCTGTGGCAGCGACAGAGGTGGCCCCGGGGCCATGCCGGCCCGTAGATTCTGAGTGCCTTGGCAGCTGGCAGGACTTGGGGGTGTAGGGTTTAGGGGTTTAGGGGTTTAGGGGTTTAGGGGTTTAAGGGTTTGGGGTTTTGGGGTTTTGGGTTTGGGGGAGGCATGTAACGATAAACTCATTCTCTTAGGGGTTACGTAGGTGCTTCCGTTTGGAGATTTGGGTGTAGGGAGGTGAATGTTCTGAACGGTAAACTATCCAGATAGGTCATGCAAGTTTTGAGTTTAACCCTCACATCATTGAGCCGAAGCACTGGAAATCCCCAAGCCCTAAACCCCAATGAGCAAACCTTGACCATGAACCACTGACCGCACCGAAACCCAGAAAAGCCTAGCAAAAACCCTAAACCCTAGACCCTAAACCCTAGATCCTAGACCCTACACCCTAGACCAGGTTAGCTTCAGCTCCAATACTGATGCAAAGTTCACGGTGATGAACTCCGTGAACCCAAAGCTTACACTCCAAACCTTTGGCCCACCCTAAACCCTAAACCCTAAACCCTAAACCCCTAAACCCCTAAACCCCTAAGCCCCACACCCCAAACCCTAAACCCCAAACCCTCAAACCCTTAAGCCCCACGCCCCAAACCCTAAACCCCAAACCCTAACCCCCCAACCCCAAACCCCAAACCCTGAACCCCAAACCCAAACCTCAAACCCCAAACCCCAAACCCCAAACCCCAAACCCCAAAAACCCCAAAAACCCCAAATCCTAAACCCTAAACCCCAAACCCTAAACCCCCCCAACCCCAAACCCCAAACCCTAAACCCCAAACCCCAAACCTCAAACCCCAAACCCCATACCCCAAACCCCAAACCCTAAACCCTAAACCCCCCAACCCCAAACCCCAAACCCCAAACCCTAAACCCAAACCTCAAACCCCAAACCCCAAACACCCCAAACCCCAAACCCCAAACCCCAAACCCTAAACCCTAAACCCTAAAGGCCCTGAACCCTAAACCCCTAACCCTAAACCCTAAACCCCTCTCAGGCGCCTCGCAGCCTTGGCGGCACCACGCAGCTTGGGGTTTAGGGTTTAGGGTTTAGGGTTTAGGGTTTAGGGTTTAGGGTTTAGGGTTTAGGGTTTAGGGTTTAGGGTTTAGGGTTTAGGGTTTAGGGTTTAGGGTTTAGGGTTTAGGGTTTAGGGTTTAGGGTCCTCATGGTAAGGGAATCCTGCTATTTTGGGTGTAGAGTTTTCGGGGGGGGGGGGGGGTTGAGCGGGGGATGTTGGGATAGGGTTTGGGGTTAAGGGTTCAGGGGTTGAGAGGGTTTAGGGTTTGGGGGGTTTTGGGATTTCAGGTTTGGGTGTTTTGTGGGTTTGGGGAGGTTTTAGGGGTTTAGGGGTGTATCCTAGTCCGAGGTGGCTAGGTTTGGGTTTTGGGTCTGTTTACAAGCTTGGGCTGAACTTGGGCCCCTGCCACCACCTCTTCTCAACCCCGCGAAGCCGGCCCTATACTCCCCTAGATCAGCCCTATAAAGGGCCTTTTTTAAGAGGTTATAGGGTAGAACAGCCCATCCTGGTGTCAACTCCCCACTTTTCCCGCTCTGCGAGCACGTCCCTCAGCTTTTCTATTTCCAAGTCCCCGCGGGGCTCCAACCGAACTCTTTAACCCCCCAAAGCAACTTGGGGGTTCCTAAACCCTAAACCCCAAAACCCTAAACCCTACACCCCAGACCCTAGACCCAAACCCTAAACTCTACTCCTGAGACTTAAATCCCAAAAAGGGTTCCGACTCCCGGTTCTTCAAGATCTTGAGACCTGAAGACCGAAGCGCTACGACCAAACACCCTAGCTAGGTGAACTTAGAACCCTCAACCGCCTTAATCCCAATCCCGCAACGCCCCAAGCACCATTCCCCCACAAGACTGTAGTCAATGAACCCCCGAAACCCTAAACTCTCTACAGCCCAAACCCTAACAACCCTAACAACCCTAAGCCCCAGGAACAAGAATCTGTAATCTAACCTTAGGCCGCCCCAGCGAGCCCACCGAGCGGCCTCCCAGCAAGGTGCTTCAAAGGGGCGGCGTTTAATTCGGGTTTGGGATTTCGGGTTTAGGGTTTAGGGTTTAGGGTTAGACAAGCCCTTCTAACTCCCACCATTGAGGGTCTATAGGATTAAGGGCTACTAAGGTGATCAGCGAGCCTCACTCCACAAGCCTTGAGAAGCCCTAATGTCCAAAACCGAAAGGTGCGAAAAGAACAAACCACTTTTCCACTGTGGTTTCGGGTTTGGGGCCCTGTCAGGGCCTAGGAAGTGCTTGGGGTGCCATTTGGGGTTAGCAGGACAAGAGGCTTCAGGGTTCGGCTTCACAAAGTGTACGGAAAATTCGCATGTATAGGGCACAGGTTTTTTAGGGCTCAGGGTTTACAAGAATGCCTTTGGGGTTGGTGTCTTGTTTAGGGCTTCTAGGGTATAGGCTTTGGGGTTTTCTGGCTTGGTCGCGGAATGCCGCAACATCTTCGAAGATGTGAGTTCGCCGCTCAGCGGAGACGATCGAACACTTAGCACCACAATGCTCGCGCATATTGCCACGTGCAACGGCATGGAACACGCGTGCATCATAAAGAGCCTCTCCGCGATCATAGCACGCGTGCTAGGCAAAGGAGACGATTCAGTTGCCATTTTCAAGGATGCGACAAAATCAGGCCCCGAAACCCACCGCCCCCTCCAGCCCAGCCCTACGCGGAGGTTCGTGGCTTGCGGTTTCTTGGGGTTGCTTCGGTTTTAGGCTTTTCTGGACAAGCAAGGGAACCGCATCCCTAAATTCATCATCAAGCCTTAACCCCATAGCCGGATGCCCAGCTCTATAAGCCTAAAGCTCTTTTAGCCCGTTTTGCCCCAAGGCCCTAAACCCCATGAGTCCCACGGCCCTACGTCTCCTAGCTCTGCAACCTGTGGGCTCACTAGGGTTTGGGGTTTGGGGTTCAGACGCGTACGTGCATAGGTTGGGATCCTCTGGATGGGAGACACGTACCGTGGTGAGTTGACTCCTAGTTGGCTTGGGACGGACCCGCCCAACTAGGATGTGTGACTCCTTTGCAAACCCCTACTCGAACCCTAAACCCTGAACCCTAAACCCTCAAGTCCAATCTTCTCCAGGAGCCCACAAAACGCCGCCGAAGGAAGAGGTAGCGGACTTGGCATGGGAGCAAGTGATGGGTTTCAGCATTAAAACCCTGGCAAAACCCGAAATTCTAAAAGCCTTGGAGTGGTCACGTTGGCGTAAAATCCCCAAAGCAACCGAAGCCATAATCATGCGCGCCCCGGCTAAGTCCTGGAGCCCACTAGCGTAGGGCCCCCCTAAACCTTTTAAGCCCCATCTAGTCCAGCAGCCCTTCCAAACTGCAGCCCTAAGATTACCAATAACTGGGTTTCCAAGGATGGGCAGTAAAACAACCGACTGCTGAGATGGCGGCTGCGTCAACCACCCCGAAATCTCAAACCTCAAACCTGAAATTGAGAGTATTGGGTCCAAATCTTCGGGACTGGGTAGGCAACCTTTATAACCTTTTGGGTTTTGTAGAATCCTATTATATGTAAAAGGTTAGCCTTTTTGGGGCTAGGGTATTCAGCCCCGACGAAATTTGGCAAGGAGCAAGCTGCGCCTCCTGGCCATCGTGCAGTCGCGCGCGGATGACTCCGAGAGCACCGGCTGCCGCGGGTTGCCGAGCATTCGGGGGCTTCTGGGGTCAGGTGTTTAGGGGTTTCGGATGGTTTCGGGGCGATAGGGTTTCGATAGGGCTTGCCCTGAATCCTAGACCCTCAACCCTAAAGCCTAAGCGGCAGAGGGTTGCAAGTGATGCAACGTGTTCCAGCACAGAACGGCTACGAGGCTCTACGACAGCTGATACATCTCTTTCAGCCATCGAGCCGAGCCTGTTCTTTGGGCATTCTTGCTGCTCGAGCGCAGACGCGCCCGTTTCGCAACAACGAGCCGCTCTTGGCGCAGTTGTTGGATCCTGAGCGAGTGATGGAGGAATGCGAGCGATCCTCCGGCAAGAAGCTGGAGGAAGTATTGACCGCTTCTTCAATTTTGCTCAAGAGCAGTAGTGTGGAAATTTTCGGGGGGCCGAGCGGGCCTTGCCTTGTCATAGGAATTCCTGTAGGGACAAAGTCGGGCGAACCCGAAACTTCAAATCCCCCCTGTTAGGTTAGGGTTGGGGTGTGGGGTTCAGGGTTTAGGGTTTGCCATGAAGCAAGAGTTAGACGGTCAGCACGTGCCAACATAGATGAGATGCAATATGGCCTGTTAGGGTTTAGGGCTCCACCCTGGGTCCTGCTTAACTGAAGTACCCTTCTTGCAGTCCAGGGTGTATCCGTCTGGGCCCCTAAAATGGTTAATTTGGGGAGCCTCGTCGTATACCCGTATACCCATGTACCTGATAAAAGGGTACTTAGCTTTTTCCATGAGGGCCCAGACTTCCAATCATGGAGCATCATGGAGCCTAAACCCTAAACCCTAAGCCCGAAACCCTAAACCCTAAGAATGAGGTGGAGAAGAATCGGCTCCCGAGCCGGCCACGCTTGCTGAGGAAGAGGAAGAGGTCGCTGCAGCCGTTCATGTGGAGTGTGGGAGGTATCGGTGTAGGGCTTAGAGCTCAGGGTTTAGGCTTCAGGGTCTGGGGTTTGGGGTTTTAGGGTTTAGGGGGTCATAGGGGTTGGTGTTCTCAAAAGGGCTTATAAGGGTTTTCGGGTTGAGGGGCTCCGGTCTTGGGTATCAGGGGTGTTTATCCTACATTCAAGTTGAGGGATCCTTCAGCCCAAATTGATCCCCCAAACCCTCTGCCCCAAACCACTACACTACTGTTTGCTTAAGAACCCCAAAAGAATGAAAACAAGAGTAATCCTTATATTGCCCTTACAAGGACGGGGGTTCTTAAGCAGTAGTTCAGTAGCAGGACTTGTGGCCTTTTCGGACGTCGGCGAGTCTGAGTTGCTCCGGGGCCCGGGTAATGTACAGGTCAGAATCGAACGGTTGTCCCTTGTAATCCCCCCTTATAATTATACGAAAATGACCCCAAAATCCTATTCTAACTCTTAAGGCCCTATATTAGGCTTTATATAATTATACGAAAATAACCCCAAAACCCTATTCTATTCATTAAGGCCCCTATATTCGGCTTTATCCAGAGCCCTGGCCGGAAAGAGTCCAGATGGCCTGATGCCGGCTACCGAGCGTTTGCTCGGACTTGGCATTGGGATTCAGGGTTCAGGGGTCCCCTCTCCCAAAGCCCCCAAAAATCCCGAAACTTCAACCCCTACCATCCCCAACCCCTAAACCCCAAATCCCTAAACCCCTAACCCTAAATCCTAAACTCCCCCCCCCCCCCCCACCCAAATCCCACCCCATGGCCGCGCAGGAGGATGAGAGTGCCCATGGGGACGCCGAGGACTCCGACCCTCTCGTCCCTGAGGTCAACACTTCGCTCGGGTGCCCAGTAGTGCCTTTTTGGTGGGGGCTGAGGTTCCCTTTATGACCCCTGTTTAAGCAACAAAGGGAACCCTTTTTGATCCTATGTTCCTGGGTAAACCAGTTCGGGCTGAACTCAAACTTCTAAACCCTAGACTCAGTCAGAAGCCGACAGCCTAAGCCCCTTCCAAGAATGTGTGTAAGGGTTCTTCTACAAGGGGCCGACATTTCGACAACCATGACCGAATAAGTCTGAGCCCCGATGCACATCTCGGCTGAAGGCTCGACAGGCGCTGAAAGCCTTGTCTGTTTTGCGGTCATTATTATTAGGCTTTTGTTGAATTAATTGACAATAGAAGTAAATACTTGTATAAATAGAATATTCACTCATGCGTTCATCAATCCATCCATCCATCCATCCATCCATTCACCCATTCATCCATTCACCCATTCATCCATTCATCCATTCACCCATTCACCCATTCACCCATTCACCCATTCATTCATTCATTCATTCATTCATTCATGCGTGCATTCATCCATTTGTTTGTTTATTTTGGAGGGTTGGGGATTGGGCAGTTTGGAGTTGTTTTTGTTTCTTGGTTGGTGGTTTGAGCTTTTGGGGCGACTTGCTGTTCCGGTGTACAGTCTTTGTGGAGTCAGGGCTGAAAGAATAGCTCGGCGAAGCCCCGACGGGGCTTACTTGAGAAAACGAGGGAACGGAAGTGAAGGGCCTGTAGGAAAACCCCCCTAAGCCCTAAACCCCAGACTTGGGATGTTTCCCCTTATACTATCAGTCCTTAAGAGGGACTATAATTGGGGGTACTATGATCCCTATTAAGGACTGTTAGTATAAGGGGGAACATCCCAACAGGCCCTCACGAATTAGTGCCCTGTTGATTCCTGGCGATTGCTAGGGAGCCTAGAAGCCCTACATCCGAATTCCTTCATCCCTGTTCAACCCCTAAGCCTTGAGGCATACACCCTAAATCCTCTACCCCCCATCTTTCAGCCCTCATCCCTAACTTCCCTCCGCCTCCCCACCGAAGCAGAGGCGCCCCACGCCGCCGGAGCTTGTTGGGGCCTCACCCGTGGAGGTCCCCCCATGTTTGTCTGTCTCTTCGTGGGGCATGAGGGTTAGAAGCTTAGGGGCGCAGGGTGGGCAACTTTCGGGACATACCTAATCTTCGGAAGTCGGGACTTTTGGGTATGCTACATCGTCTCCGCATGAAGGGTTGCATAGGAGGATCTGAGGTGCTGCCATCGTACGTGTCGGGTTCTCATGACACAATGGCCCGGCCAAGGGCGCAGAAGCTTCGCCGATTCTTGCGAAGCTCCACCTTCGACTCCAACCATGAAGCCTAAGCCGTATGGTGGGTTTAGGGTTTAGGGTTTAGGGTTTAGGGTTTAGGGTTTAGGGTTTAGGGTTTAGGGTTTAGGGTTTAGGGTATGATCCTGCGAGCCAAAACCCGGCGGATGGAAAGCGGCTGCAACGATCTTAAATAAGGGTTGAGGGGTTTATATCAGGTTTTGGGCTTAGGGCTTCTGAGGCTTGCAGCTTAAGGTTCAGCAAAGCTGAGAGGTCTTGGCGGGTCTTCGGCCGACGTCCAAGAATTACGAACACAAATAGGGTTTAGGGTTTAGGGTTAGCCTGTTAAGCCCCAAGCCCTAAACCCTATACCCTATACCCTATAAACCCTAAACCCTCAACCCGGCCTCAGGGCTTGGGGCCTCGGCCTACAAGTTACCCCCCTCCCCCACCCAGTCGTGCCCAAACAGCAGGAGATCCTGGACCTTCGGGTTGACGGTTGAGGGTTTAGGTTTTAGGGTTTAGGGTTTAGGGGTAGGGTTTAGGATTTAGGGTTTAGGGAAGCCCTGACCCCTTAGACCCCCGACTCTTCACCGACAGCAGGAGGGCACAGTGCTGCCCGACCCCTGCCCGGAGGAGGAGAAGCAGGGCGAAGAGGCCACCTGCTACAGCAGTTGCTAACAAAGTTTAGGGTTAACTAAGCCCCAAAGCCCTAAGCCTTAAACTCGCAAGTTTTCAGAAGATTGAGTTGCAGCGATCAGGGTTGAGGAACTCAGTACATCCTCCTTTCTTGCACCCCCCCGTCAGTAGCCCAGAATGAGGGACGAAAAGTTTGCTTATCCTGCAGGCGCCAATGACGGCGGAGTGAGGGAACGCGTTTAGTGTGTTTTGTTTTTGGGAGGGGGGGAGGTGTTCCCTCTCTCCCTCTCTCCCTCTCTCCCTCTATCCTTTCTCGGTTGACACTTTGCCTTGCGCCGGCGCTGTAGCTTTACAGGGATGGTTTTTCAGGTGTGCAGTTTAGGGTCTCGGGCTTGTGGGGCTGAGGGTTGCGGCTCTGGGCTTCGTTTGTCTCCGGGCCTTGTAGGAGTTTAGGGTCTGGGCTTGAAGCAAAGCGGAAGTTTCTGAAGATGCCCACAGTTCAAAGTGTTTAGGGACGGTTTAGGGTTTAGGGTCTAGGGTTCAGGGTTCAGGGTTTAGGGAGTTTAGCGGGTCGTTTAGAGGGCTTAGGGTGCATTGCCCAGCATTCCACGGCACATTGTCGAGGCAGGCGCGGCTGGCCCTACCGATCAAGGCATGGTGCTTCCGAACCCTAGCCAGGCTTGGGATCCCATTAGAGTTTTTTTGGGTTTAGGGAACCACACCGCCTTGTCCCCTAAACAGCCACAGATCACCGAAGCACAGCCAAACCACGCGAACGAAAATTGGACCCATCGGGGTGCATTCTCGGGGTTCAGGCTTCAGTCTTTATCGTTGCTTAGGGCTTAGCCACCAGAAAAATGTCAAGGAGCTCGCCTGAGAATCATGTTTTTGAGTTTCAAAGCTTGACAACACTTGACAGCAGGAATTGAGGGTTTAAGCAGGGTTTCAGTTGCCTACCCTTTGGTGACCATACACCCCTAAACCCCAGTCTGTTTATCTTGCAACCTAACCTTAAAGCCCGAAAGCCCTCAGCCTAGCACTTGTGTTGGTGCCCTTTTCCAAGCTGTCCGGGGGCCATGTTTCTTGACATACATCTTCATTGATATAAACCCCATGATTATAATATATACGAAAAGGGTTTTGAGGGTTTCGAGGGTTTTTAGGGCGTTCCTTGGGGACCCCCGCGCTGGCGATGCAGGTCTCGAGCGCTTGGAGCGCGCGTCCAAGAGCCGCAGGGCGCCTGGCAGACCTTTTTGTTCAGGGAATCCGGGGGGTGTATGGGCTTAGGGTTTAGGGTTTAGGGTTTGGCTAGGGTTTGGGCTGGGGGTTTAGGGTCTAGGAGTTGCCGAAGGGCGTAGGATTCGGCGAATGAGGAATATGAAGGAAAGGGGCTTAGGCTTCGGGGAGTTGAGGGTAAAGGGTTCATGAGGCCTCACGGCCCTTCTTTTCCTGGTCCCCCGGATTCGGCAGTTGGCTCGCTCAATTGCAGCCCTCACGCCCAAGCCACCATAGCCCTAAACCATTCAACGTCCTTAGCATCTCCAGCCTTTGCCCTAAAGCTTATGGACCCGGAAAGCCTTTTGACTTGGCGCGAGGTTGCTAAAACGGTGTTTCCCGTCTGGCCCTCATGGGGTTCATACCCTGACACTTCTGAGGCCCACGGCGGCGCTCGGCCAGCCTGAAGGCCGGTGTTTTTTTTAGATTCCGGCTCACGTGAACCCTACGAACCTCATGAGCCCTATTAACTCGACAAGGCCTAGAAGCCCTACAAGTCCTACATGCCTAATAATTCCCAGAAGTATACTTTCAGCCCGAGGCTCTGGGTTATAACGATGAGGGGTTGATGCCGTAAAGGGTTGATGGTTCAGGGTGATCGCGGTTCTTGCCACAACGACGTCAGATGCTCAACGCTGCTGTCCGGGCACGGCCCAGATTGCTTTTAGCCCCGGGCTGCGGGCTGTCTGCCTGCGCATCCTCATCATTGTGGCGACGCCAGCGCTTGTGTCGTCCGGGACAATCTTGCTCGAAACCCGCGTGGAATGGATATTCAGGCCTCAGAGCAGCGCGTTACGGCGTCCAGGCGCTGGCGGAACTTGGCGGCGCATTGCTGCTGTTGCTGCTGCTGGACACCTTACACCCGGGGTGATAGGGCTTTAGGTCGCATAAATGCAGTTGGGGAGTTTCCAGGGAGACCCTCAGCCCTCAACCTCACAGGCCGGCCCCGAAAGCAATGTGGGCCACGGTCCAGCTCCAGGACCCCTGGGCCCTAAACCTGAGACCCTTTTTTCAGGCAAAGAATCCCAACATCCCTCAACTTAAAAGTGCTTGGAAACCCGAAGGCCTCCCCCCCTTTCCTTCACCCCCGACCCCTCAGGCCACTCTTTGCCGACCGGTGCCGACTCGTCAGGCAATTTGTATTTTGGGGGGTTCCGAAAAGAGGGGTGCCCTTTTGTGGGGGTCTCTTTGTGGGAATTCTATTCTATTTGGGCTATAAAGGGGTACCCCTCTTTTTGGGAAATGCCCAATTAGGTATTGTTTATGGTTTAGGGTTTATAAGGGTTTAGATTTGTTCATTGGCATTGAAAGGGTTGAGGTTCTTTTCACAGGGTAGCCCCCAGGGCTCATGCAGGTTAGGTATCTCGGTTCTGTTGAGAAATCAGCTTTTGCGCTGTTCCGTCGCATAATTACTGCCCAACACTTCTGAAAAACCGCGGAACAGGGAATGGGCCCCTTGAAACATGGACCCTGCTATCAGGGTTTAGGGTTTCGGGGTTTAGGGGTTTAGGGGTTTAGGGTTTTAGGGGTTTAGGGTTTAGGTTTAGGGTTTAGGGTTTAGGGTTTAGGGTTTAGGGTTTAGGGTTTAGGGTTTAGGGTTTAGGGTTTGGGGTTTAGCCCACGAAGCCGAGCCTCACCAAAGGGTTCAGTGTGTGCTTTGTTGTTTTTGGAGCCTCTAAGCCTATAAGCCGATAAGCCTTAAACCTAAACCCTAATTTCAGAACCCTTCAAGCCCTGTCTCAAACCCTAAACCCTGAACCCTAAAACCTAAACCCTAAACCCTCAACCCTCAACCCTCAACCCTCAACCCTAAACCCTAAACCCTAAACCCTAAACCTAAAGCAGCCATGGCGCAAGCCAACCAAGCCGCCGCGCCGACCTGCCAGCCGGCGGATTGCAGCCGGCGGTTCCCTAACCTGCCAGAGGACCCTTCCATCGGGGGGGTCTAGGGCCTAGGGTTTAGGGTTTGGGGTTTAGGGTTTGGGGTTTAGGGTTTGGGGTTTAGGGTTTAGGGTTTGGGGTTTAGGGTTTTAGGGTTTAGGGTGTAGGGGGGGTGTCCCTAGACCCTTAGTAAAACCCAAATCCCTACTGGCTTGACATTTAGGGGATTCTTTACAAGGCTTGGTCTTTGAAGGCACCGAGGTTCATGGGATTCATAGGGTTTAGGGATGTTGAGGGTGTTCCGGGCTAGGGTGTTCTGGTCTTCGGAAAAGTTTGGACTAGGCTTGGATCCTGCTACCCTGTTTTGGGGAGTTCAGGGTGTAGGGTTTAGGGTTCGGGTTCAGGGCCCAAAGTAACCTAGGAGTCAGATACCTGAGAACCCCCTTGCTAAACCAAAAATCATTCCTCTTCTGCTCTGGCACCTAGCGTCCGTATTGTAACGCGCCCAAATCGGGATCCTCACTTAACCCTGAACCCGAAACCTTACAAGCCCTGTTTCAGCCTAAAAAAACCCTGACGTAGAGAAGTGACGAAGTCACTCAAGAGGATCACCCGCTATGGACGATGGAGATGAACCAAGAGACGCCCGGATTGGACCGGCCCTACCTAGGCTTAACATGTTTTGGGGATTACGGACTCAGAGGTTCACCTTTTTTTCGTTTAGGGTCTAGGGTTTCGGGATGTCGGTGAGTATCGAGAGAACGGGGAGCAAGGCCCTCAACCCTGAATCAGGCAAAATGAAAAGCCCAGTGGTTTATGGGGGCTTCGCAGGTTCGCAGGGAGACGAGGCACAGTGCTCTCCACATACAGAAGAGGCAGCTACAGGACACAGCTGGAAACAGGTATAGTTCCACCCCCGAAACAGGTACCTCGACCCCCCCGCCCCCGCTTTTGAAGCCCAAAGGCAAGATCCGAAGCCGAGCCCGCCTCAGTTTGTCGAGGAATGGGAAGAGTTGGCTGAACAACCCCTTCGCGGCTGACCTTTGCCTCATGGTGGGCAGAAGGTATTTCTTCATCCATCGGCCTTTGGTCGCGGACTGGAGCGACTACCTGTGCTCATTGCTTGACGCTCGGAAGGTGTTTGTGCTGCAGAATTAAGAGCCCTTTATAATTGAGGCCCTGTGCACGCCACGTGCAGACTCAATTTTCAGGCCTTTAAGCCCAAGATCAACGCCGGGCCCCCAAACCTGAACAACTTAAGCTTCCAGCGGCAACGCCGAAATTCGAGAGCCATAAATTCGGCAAGCGAGGAGAAGTAATCGGTAAAGGAGCCGGATTCAGAAAGCATAGGTTGTCGAATTCGGCAGTGGATTACAGCATTTCCGTCAAGCTGCCGCCGCTGGGGGGCTAAAGCGTTTGTCATTCGACTTGCTTATGTTTTGGGATGTGTGTGTGTGTGTGTGTGCGCTTTTCTGTTCGGGGGTGCATCAGGGGCAACTCAACGGACCAGTGCGCAATCACTGACTTCCCATTGTCTTTCGGTCTACGCCCCTTTCAGGTGTACATACCTCTCATGGTGTTCCCCTTGAGTACGTTTGTATCCTTTTAGAGAAGTAGTATGTGTCCAGGTATATATATATATACATATTTATTTATTTATTGTTTATTTATGTATTGATATTTAGAAAGAGATGGATATAGATCTTGGCGAGGATCCAACCCCTGGCTTTGAATCCCCCGGCTTCACTTTGCACCTGCCAGTGGCCGATCCGGATGCGCTGGAGGGGCTACTTCGCTGGATGCACTCTGAGTTTCCCATGGAACAGGTCTTCTGTTGCTTGGGGCTTATAGGGTTTCACGAGCCCTGCTGTAGTGGAGGTGGTCTAGGCTTCCGCCTCGAACATCCGAGGTACACCGGCGATCCGGAGGTGCTGTCTTCTGACAAAATCTTCGGGCTGATCCCAGTGGCAGATTATCTCGGGATGCGCAAGCCTTTTTGGGAGGAGCTTTACAAGGCCGTCGCCGACATGTGGGAAGCTTCTGGGTCCGAGACTTGGCTGGCGTCTTTCACGAAGCACATCGAGCGCGTTCCCGTTTCTTGCAGCCTGGAGATCGTGCATCGGTGTGGGGCAACGAAGCGGAGCATTCCACCCGACCTTCTTCTGTCATTGCTCCTTCAAGTTGCGGACGCAAGGCAGAACGGGGACGAGTGCAAGCCATTGGCTGAGCCCGTCAACAAAGCGGTTCCGCTGTGCAAGCACGAAACCATCCAAATGATGGCCGAAAAGTACACCAGCAGCTTCGACGCGCTTGTGCGGCCGAGCAAACTCTGCATTCGGCAGGGGCAGAAGCGCAAAGCCTTTCACAGGGTTTGTTCGAGGTGCCATTTAAATTTTGCAAATGGAGAAGAAGCTGCTGCAGCACCTTGTCGTGAGACTGTCTTGACTCACTCAGAAGACACATTCCACTCAAAGGCAGGCAACCTTTGCTGCTGCAGATGCCGCAAGCCCCTGAGTCAGTACGATCCCAGGTGCTCCCAGCTGGTAACGCGTAGCTTCCACAATCTTGTCGACTGGACCGAGCGTTAACAACTGCTGCTTGCGGGGCGCGCGTTGCCACACAGCGTATGCAAAAGTTTCCTGGTTTGCCTGAGCAGCGAAGAAGAATTGTATCAACCGAGGAGCTTGAGACCACACGGCTCAGGAGTGGGGCTAGGAGTGTCGAAGCCTCGGGAGATGTCCACTTGGGCCCACAGCAGCGAGGTCTTGGGGATAAGGTTTCAAACCCCCCGATTTCAAGGTGATGCCCACACCCTGTAAGCCCTTGGTGTTTAGGCCCTCAGAACTCAATGTAAGCCCTCAAAACTCAATTCAAAAACATTAAAACCCCTCAAGGCCCTAAAGGCCGTAAACTCAACCCTAAGCCCTACCTGGCAGGCGGTTCCAATCAAGACCTTGATGCTGGACCTCTGCATCTGACTCTGAATGGGCCACTGGGACCCTAAATTGCCCTAACTCCAAGGGCCTAAACCCCAACACTTCAACCTGGGAACTGTCATCCCTAAACCTGAGAACCCGTAAACCCCAATTGGGTTTAGGGTTTGGGGTTTGGGGTGTGGGGTTTAGGGTTTAGGGTTCAGGGCCCAAGAACTCGAAGCCCTAAACCCTGAAGAGCTCCTGACGCCCCTGGGTCCCGAAGCCCTTGCCTGTCCCACCCGAAGCCTTGTGCAAGTTTCGGGATACACGAGGACCAAGAGCAGGCCCTTGTTTCCTTTTTTGGGGTTTAGGTTCTGTAAACAAACATCTTTTGTAGAAAACAGAAAGGGCGCCCTTTGCATTCCTAGGCTACTCTTGGGCCTAGTACATCAGACTTGGGTTTGCTAGCTTTGCTTTAGGAGTTGTAGGGTGCTTTGGGGCTTCCAAGTGTTTCATCGGGTACTTGGGGATTCTCGGCTGGTGAGGATGTCCACGGCTTGTAGGGTTTTTGAGGTTCGTAGGGCTTAGGGGAGCTCATAGGCGCCCGCGTTAGAGGATCCCGTTAGAACAGTCACATCGTTGCTCTGGAAGGGTCTCCAGAGTTATTGTCTTCAGGAGTTCTTGAG